GAGTACCAGTAAAACATATTAATAGCTATGAATAAAAATGGAAACAATATTCTTGACACCCGATCAATTTTAGAAACTGAGTTAAACCTAGGTGATCTTTTTTTCTTTCTATAACCTTTACTGCTCTGAGTGGATACTCTTCGACTCGCTACGCTAAATCGGCGTTTCGCTGTTGGTGGAGCTTGATGACTCAATCTTCGTGCTGGTGGCTTATTGGGCGGTTTTGTAGATGTAGATGGAAGTAAGTCGTCGGTCAATTGAATGATTTCATCAAATCGAGGATTCGGTTTGGAACATTCGTGAACGCTCTTAGCGACCGATTTTGAAGCCTAAAAATGAGAGTAGGTATACCATTTTGCAAAGTAAAACACTTGCACGTCACGATTTATACAAAGTCACGTCACTTGTATTTAAAATTTCCAGAACATCAACCTTATAGTTTAAATTTTCCTAACACAGCTAATAATACGAAACCCATACGGAACTGCTCGATCTTTCATAGGCGTCAACATAGTGTAATAATCAGAAAAATATAATCATTATTATATTGGAAATTTTAGAATTATATTGATTAAATAACCAAAAACATTTATTATTATTAATAATATAAATTTTATGAAATAACTCTTAAAGTCTAATATTCCACAAAATAATAATTTTAATTAAATATATTAGACAATTGTACGCAACTGATATGGAAATATATCAAATATTATTGACAGTTCACCGAGTGGCAAAAGTGTAAAAAGTGTTGCCGTTTTTTTAGAGTAGAAATTTTGTTATGTTTTGATTTCTTACACAATTTGATCATAATATAATATATATTAATAAATTGTATTTATAAGTGCATTTTAAATTTAGATTAATAGCTTTAAAAACTAATTATTGTTGTGTATTGTGATTGTGATATGCCAAAACAAATAAAAGTCTGTAGAAAGCTGATAAGCTTTCATATAAGATAGATTATTTTGAACAAGAAATAATGGCGGGACGTTTTTGTTATTAACGCTCTAAAAGAGGTAAGTGTTGCAGTAGTCTTAAAACTAAGTGTATTTACTATTAATATAATAGTTTAACAAATAGTTGACATTTTAAAAATTCCTCACTTACTAACTATGCTGATGTTTTGGCAACGCTGTGTGGTTCTGACGACGTAAATCTTGAATGACGTGCAAGCTTTTTTATTAGAAAAATGCTATATATAACAATTCCTTACAGAGTGTAAGCGTTTGATTTTTAATAACTACGAAATATTTATTTTTTATATAATATAATAATATAATTCATAACTGAAGCCGATTACGATATCAAAATGATTTAAAAACAATCTACTGGTACCTACTAGGAAATAAATAAAACTTGTATGCAGGCTGTTCCAAGATGTTTTAAACAGTATATTATTCAGGAACTAATGAATGTTTTCATTTTAAAATTGGGAAATGTTAATTGAATCTACAATACGATCAATTGATGTATACATAAGATTTATGACGTCATCACGGGAGCTGTGACGTCCTTACAATAGAAACATTAAATAGATCATGTTGGTGAATGTTAAGACCGCTTTACAGCTTGCAAGAAAACTTGCTGCAACTTCTTGCATGACTAACTTTCATGCAATTTATTGCAGGGTCTTTATGTGCGACTTTACTTTACAGTTTGCAATTAATGTTGAAATGTTTACTCTTAACCTAACTTATTTATGATTTTTTTTAATTACTTGTTTATTTAAAACACTTTAATCGATTTAAATAGTTTGATAGATAGATTGAATTAATTTCGATAGATAGATTTAGAATTCATTTCGATAGATTTAGATTAGAATTTAGAATGATATATTTAGAATTAATTTCAATAGATAGATTGATTTAGATAGATAGTAAATTTCGTAATGCCAAGACTATGCAAGACATTGTTGGTACTTCGAGCAGAAGATAGTTCAATTTTTGATGATACTCTAACGTATTAATTAAAAATATTAAAATTAGAAAAAGGCGATAATCTACAAATCAAGCCAAGCTAAATACAAATGTGTGGGAAAAGAAATAATAAACAAAACAGGAAATAGCTGATCGGCATGTCTTCGTGTCAATCAGTGATTATGACATTTGACATTGTGAAAAAATCAAACTTCCTACAAATTCCCCTAGACTTGCATGAAAACTTGCACAGAAAATGGCACCAAACCGATTATCGCGCAACTGCAATAAGTTGCAGGCAATAATCAGCTGACGGCATACTGCGCATGCCTTTGGGCAACTTTCTTGCGTCTTGCAGGTAAAATTGCAAGCTGTAAAACGGACTTTAGACCCACGGTTCGTAGACTTACTACGGTTGCCTCTTCCGACTGGGGTGGGGATGCTTGAGTTACGTAACAGGAGTACACAAGAATACAAAACCCATTTATTCGCGATTGAAACTGAATGTAGAGGGCAGGTCGATTGCAGTGTCATGGCCGATATAAATGGTATAAACAAAAACAAACATAACATTCGAATATTTACCATTGCTTTTCCATGATTAGTTTGGTTTAAGACGAGTTATTTGTATCATTTAATAATGGAAATTAACCTTAATGATATCTTTGAGTATTGTAGTGAAGCAAAGAGTCCATTGGTTGAAGGGGAAGCAGTTTTCAAGTGATGTACTTGTTGTGATAGTACAGTACTAGTGATGTGATGTTTTCAAAGATTTTAACTGTAGTTTCCTGGGCTCAAAATATTAAGATTGAACCTAAATCAGTAATTTCGTCTCTAGATAGACGTGTACTTTGAGGATTTTACTGTGATTTTTCGTGTTATTGCACTAGATTCTCCACTACTGAGCAATAATGTTAGGTTTTAATACAATTTCCAGAGATTTTTAAATCTTTCATATTTTTTTAATAATAGTTTTCTCTAATAAAATACGTAAATTTCGAAACAACTAATTAAATTTACATATTTAAAAAGCCTAATTGTTTGTATTGATGATACATAATTCTTACAGTCAAAGTTAGCTGAACAGAAAATAAATCATTTGAATTATATTGCCCTCGCTTTGCTTAATGTGTGGTTCCGAAACTGTAAAATCAAATTATTGTCAGTTGAAAAAACACAAAATTGAAAAAAAGTGTTCGAAAATATGAGATAAAGTGTTTCATTGAAATTAAATTTAAGAAGTGAAAAAGAAGAGAAATTTTATTATAATATAATCTACCTGAAAAACAAGAACGAAAAACTAATAAGGAGTTGTTATGATGTGTGGATGCGGACACTGATGCTTTACTTATTATTATGAAATTAAAAGACAAGATCAAAAACAAAAGAGAGCAAAGAGATACAAGGAGTATGAGGTCACCAAACTCAAGAACGAAAAAAATGTCGATAACTTTCAGCTAGATATAACGACAAAGTTACTTAAGAATGAAAATCTGTAGTATATTAACATGGAGAGGAGATTAATCAAAGAAGCTATGGGAATAGGAAAAGGAAAGAAAATGAGGGAGAAGGAATGGTTTCAGGGTGGTTTTAAAAGAAATCTGGACGAAACAAATAGAACAGGAGAAAAATATCTAGAAAACCCAATTAAACAAAATGAAATCAAATTTAATGAAGCCAGAAGAAATGCTAAAAAAATTGTAGAAGTAAAAATGAAGAGCATAAGTTCCACGAAATTGAAAAATATTATTATTATTTATTTTTTATTAAATTAACAATGCATCCAATCCTAAGCATAGCCAGCATTTTAAATTTAACCTAATCTGCTCCTTTAATGTCCTAGGTATTTCCAATGGTTCACCTTTGAAACTAATAATTATTGTTACATACTTCACAGTTATGTCTAGGTTCACTGCCCGAATTTAAACTGACATTTATATATTTATCACTATCACACAAGTTGAAAAGGCTTGGTACGTTTGAGCCTGCGGACTAGGTCTTGATTATCTGAAAGTTCAAACACTTCCCTGTCTGTATGATTGTGAAATCGGTTTTCATGACCGTCTTCATTTCTTCCTTAATTGGTGCAATGCTAAGTTCCCGATGTAGGTCTTTGTAGCGGATATACCACGGAGCGTTGACTATGTTTCCTAGTATTCGGTTTTTGACTCTTTGAAGACAGAGTAGGTATTCTCACTGATATAGGATCATAACTGTAAACCATAGGAACACCCTGGTTTGAGCATTTGTTTATAAACTAATACCTTTTTCTTGATTGTATGTTGTGAGCTTCTACCTAATAACCAATACAATTTCATGTATTTCAGTTTTTATTCTTCAGTTTTTTTTCTGTCACTTTAGTTTGCTATCCAAATGAAGCCCCATGTAACTGTTTTCTTGTATGGGACGACTTTATTGTTTAGTCTAACTGGGTAATTTTTTTTTGTAAGTGAAATCGATATGGGCAGATTTTACTTCATATATTTTTATAAGCCATATATTATTCCAAGTGTTTATTTTGTTCACTGCATTTTGGAGGTGTCTAGTTGTTTCCTCGAATCTTTCACCTCGAATTCTAGTATAACAGTGTCGTCTGCAAATGTGGCCAGTTTAATATTATCTGTAACAGAAATATCACAGCTATATAATAAATATCGTATGAGTCCCAGAACACTGCCCAGGGGGATTCCTGCTTTGATTGGTCGTAGTTCTGAATATGTGTCTTCTTGTTTAACTCTAAAAGTTTTGTCTTCCAAATATGACTGTATCAAATGGACATATCGGATGGGAAGATATTTTTTTAGCTTTATCTCTCTATAATATTTATTATACGATATATTTGGTCTATTGTTGACTGTTTTTGGTGGGAAGGAAAATTGGTGGGAAGAAATAGTTTCTTTGTAATCAAGTATAGGTTGCATTCTTACTAGCAACATCTTCTCGAATAATTTGGAAATACTTGGTAGTAACGATATTGGTCTGTGTGGTAAGAACTAGACTAACATTAAGAATTTTGCTGCTAATACAGAGCTGCTATAATTGACATATGGAGAAATTTTTATTTTTTATATTATGCTCAATTTAATAAATAGTCCAATAAGTCAGTTTCTGAAACAAATCAGAAACAAAACTAAAAATTCTTTAACTGAGGATTGCGTTTCCTTTGAAAATCGTATTATTATAGCTTACCTTTGGTTGCACATACGAAGTATTGCTATCTTCATCCTCACTGCTTGAATCAGAACTGAAGCTGAAATAGCATTCTCCTGAACCATACTTAGTAAAATAATGAACGACTGCAAACTATAAAGAAATATTTAGTTATGTAATTTAATAAATTATAATTTATAACATTTGAATATTTATAAAAGCCAGACAAAGTGAAAGAAAAATCGTAAGCGATTGTGCAAGTAAAAGTAATTTAGATATCATCCAAGGATTCCAAAATAAAATGTTAAGAAGCATTATCAACGATTCTAGAAATGGATACTGTTAACAACACCACTAAAAAATTTGCCATTAGAAATAGAGAAAATTCAATTCCTAAGCAACACGGATCTGGTTAGAACACTCGAGAGGAAGAAGCACTTCAAGGTAGTTAAGTAAAAAGTCAAAATCAGAGTATAGTGACAGTGATGGTAGACGTTAATGTTTGCGTAATTAATTAATATAGCCTAAGGGATACTGGTGAGATTGTCTTGAGTTAGTTAGCATCTTATTGGTGTATATTAATAAAAAAATTATAATATTGGATAATATCAAAAACTTACTTGTATAATTGTTGCAAAAATGAAAGCAAATGATAGAAAAACAAAAAAATCCAATGCAGTTGGATAAGGAACTTTGGGTAAGTTCGTCCTTGCTTCCAAACCTAAAAAGGTCATTGTAAGGACTGTAGTTATACCTAAAAGAAAATATAAATTAACTAATAAGGAGTAATATTTTTCTAAATGCTTAAGAAATATTGTAATTTTATATTTTTTAAAAAGAACATATAGTTTAAGCAGTAACTAATTTAAATTTGAGAATCTACTAAATATTAATGCCATAAAACAGTTTTTTACTTCATATCCGTATGCACTTTTACCCCTTTTAACGGCGTTTTTTTCTTTTATTCTTCTATCGTTTGTTATTCATTTAATATCTTCCGGGAATTTTATTAATTTTTATTTGTTTTATTTGATCTATTAATTGTCTTCTTTAAAGCATTTGTTGATATGTTTTTCTAACAGCACGTTTGTTGACTCTAACAACATTATTTTCGATTGAAGGTTCTCCACATACAAAACACTGCTCTATTTCGATTGCAATACGTCTACTCCGAAGAGCGTTGATCAACAAACTAAGCCTTTGTTCACATGACAGGTTCGTTATTTTCGTCTATTAGTTAGGCTTGTCACAGGCGTAAGACCTTAAATGTTGATTGTAGCACAAAAAATTAAAGAAATTAAAATTGTATAAAATATGATTCTCTACATTTATGTTGTAAAGTTAATATTAAACGAGATATTTCAATAATAACTGGTTACTATCTTCCCACGTAACTCCCGACCACACGAAAAAATATCGACCACACGAAAATATCGATCACACGAAAAAATTTGCAGAATTTAAAATTTGAAGGAAAGAAATTATAGAAAAGCGCATCTGTAACAATTTTAATTGTTAGCATTTTTGTCGAAAGGTTAAAAATGGCGAAGATATTGAGCAAAAACGGTTCTCCTTTAAATTTAATATGGAGGCTAACGAGGTGGTGGTATTTAGTCGCGGTTTTAAATTTACACTACTGTTGTCCCCGCTTTCCACAAAGAATAGAACAATAAAACTTGGGTGGCTGGTTATGCAAAGTTATGCCTTTTTTTTTCGTCTAAACCGACTGGAATACAATTATATACGACGTATTTCTAGCGGTTGAAATAAATATTTTGTATTTAAAACCAAATTTTAATTTAAATTTTATTTAAAGTATTTACTCTATTAACTAAATACCTACCAAGCGATACTCTGTCTGCTGTAGCTTCTCTGTTCAACCAAAATGATACCCAAGAGAGGACCACAAGGAGTACGCACGGGCCATATACTTGAATTAAGAAATTTCCCATGTGTCGCTGAAGATGAAAGCTTACTAGTAATACAGAATATTCTAAAAACAACAAGTTTTAAGTAAGATAAGGAACATACGATTTAAACAATATCTTCGCAAGTTAAATATAAAACAGCGAATTGGCTAAACAAGAACAAGAATTTTTGAAAAGTTTAAAGCGATACGATATTTGAGTTTGTTTCTGCATTGGCATTAATCTCACTGACCCACATTAAATAAATCTCAATAAAATATAAAATAATTTATCATGATTATTGGCCATTTTGCATCGACTGCTAAACATAGGCTTCTCGTAAACAATTCAATTTTGTCCGATATTGAGCACTCTGAATTTAGTTATCCTGGATGAGCTTGATATCATCTGACCACCTTGTTGGAGAACGTCCTCGATTACAATAAGCATCGTGTCTAGGTCTCCATTCTAAAAATTTATTGGTCCATATTCCATCTATGACTCTCACAACATGACCCGCCTAGCTCCATGTCAGCATTGTAATTATTTTAGCTTCGTCCGTAACACCTGTTTCACACCAACTATTTCATTTGAAACTCTGTCTCTGAAGGATATATTCAAAATTAACCTCTCCATTGATCTCTGTGTCACTTAACCACTTAACCTCCACTAAACTCTGTATCTTATTGTTTACATTTCTGGTAAGGGTAAATATTTATAATCCATTTGTTGCAACTGGAAGTAATCATTGATCCAAGACCTTTTCAAGCACATGGAAATATATGATCTAAAGACTTATCTCAGTTTTCTGTAAGCTGCTCATGTTAGTTCTATTCTCCTGTTTAACTCTGTTGATTGATCATCTCTTCCTAATTTAATCTCGTGGCCCAAATATTTATAGGTATTACTTCTTCAATTTGCGTGTCATTAGTTGAAATATTTTTGGCCAGTACAAGTTGTATAAAATAATTTATACAGTTAAGCTAATTTTATCAACAACGGAAGTATATTTTGTTCTGAAGCTATTTTCTTGTGGCATTGTAAATTAATTACTATTTAACTGCGAATAAGCCACAATTAAAGATAAAAATACGTTTATTGACTTTTCAATTTCCACTTCGGAAATCGTTCTCAAAATACAAACGTAAATTAAACAAATTTTGTTTTTTGTTACATAGTGAAAAATTCTTCTAATACTTTAATTTTATCTGACTCATTTATATTGACAATTCAGACATACATTATGCATTTTAAAGTAGACGACTTTAAAATGATATTGCCAATATTGTTGAGTTGCGCTCCTGGGACGACTTTACTTATAAGATAGTTCATTCGATTACATGATTACATAATTTACTATGGAATCACTAACAGGAGAATTTTACTGTCATCATGTCATGTGTTTGTCATTTTAAAGACGAATTACATCCTATGATTTTTTTTCTAACGGATATAAGTTAGTTAAAGTTGATTTCATGTAATCGAATGAACTATCTTATAAGTAAAGTCGTCCCAGGAGCGCAACTCAACAATATTGGCAATATCATTTTAAAGTCGTCTACTTTAAAATGCATAATGTATGTCTGAATTGTCAATATAAATGAGTCAGATAAAATTAAATTATTAGAAGAATTTTTCACTATGTAACAAAAAACAAAATTTATTTAATTTACTGTTTATATTTTGAGAACGATTTCCGAATTGGAAATTGAAACGTCAATAAACGTATTTTTTTATCTTTAATTGTGGCTTATTCCCAGTTAAATAAAGTATATTTGTGGTGACAAATTCATCACTAAACTTCACAGTGATTAACTGAAAGAAAGGAAGGATACAAACCTCCCAGGAGTTAGCTACTGTCTATACGGAACATGTTTTCATTCATAAAGCCATAAAGTTTTTACAAACCGAAAAACTACTAATTTGAATTATATGAGTTTGTAGTAATATACAATAATATGATTTTGATTTACAATAATTTGGTAATTTACAATAATACAATCTTTGGATAAGTTACAAAAGATTATTTGGACCCGAATATGTCATCTTTTACGATTTACCTCGTATTGTTTTAATGGGATTGCAGATTAAGCATTTAAGCAATTAAGATGAGATTAAGCAATAAATTTCTTACTTATAGCTTCATTTTAAATTTTTTTACTCGACTGTAATGGGTTCCTTATACTGATGTCTATGTGGCTTAAAAGCTATGTGTTTTCAAATGTGATTACTTAAAAAGTAATCACATTTTAAAGTCATAGTGGCATATCGGTATACTTATTTAGGTTTAGTTAATAACCTGGTTATTTGTTACGAATACTTCAATAAGCAAGACTTTCTTTTCATAATGTCTCTCATGAAACTGGTAGGCTCTAGTGTGAAATAAACTAAGTGCTATTTCGGCCATTTTCCTTTTAATATGCGAAATTAATTATTGACCCCAAGCCTACCGTTTGGTGCAGAAATGCACTTGCATTCCTGTGGAAATGCACTTGCATTTCTGTGTGAGAAAATAATGGTTTAGGGCAGGAAGAACCCAAGTAAACTAACTTGGTCCCTTTAAAAAATAAATATTTAAATTTGTTCATATAGTGTGTGCAGTTAAAAGTAATATAAGCACATTTTTCTGGCAATATGTCTAGTTCAAACGAAAATAAAAGCACTAAAGTAAAGGGGAGCCACCTCAATCAGAAAATCTTAGAAAAAGACGGTGAAGTATGAGAAATGATGATAATTACCAAACAAATTTAATCAAAAAAGCTGGGGTGGTACTACGTATATAGATTATAAAAGCAAGATGGTTGCTGCCAGGTAAATCGGAGGTGCTTGCAAGTAAGTTAAATAAAGTTATATATTGAATAGCCTATGTATATAGATGCGTTATTTTTTAGATGTAAAATGCAGTGTTTTACTAAGCTAAACGATATGCAAAAACAAATAGTATTTGAGAATTTCTACAAAATGCAAAACAAGGATGAACAGGATATATATCTTCAAGGTATGATACATCAGAAAAATGTAGCAGGACAAAGAAGCGAGAAAAATGAAAACAATAAATTAAGGTGTAAGTGTTTTTTGATTGTTTTATTCGAATTGGAGATCTGAAAGTAAAAGTGTGGTGTAGGGCTTTTTTAAGTTTGCATTCTGTATCTGAAAAAAGAATAAACCGAATAAAATCATTGATTAAAAATAATCTGACTCCTAGCGATAAACGTGGCAAAAATATTAAACGGACCATTCCAGAAGATCAAAACTTATTAATTCGTCAGCACATTCAAAGCTATCCAGTAAAGAAAGTCACTATTCGCGAAAAGAATATAAATACAGTAGTCTCTTTATAACGATTTCCTATATAACGATAATTCCTCTATAACAATGAAAATAGTAAACGTTGGGGTTCGTCAAAAGGACAATGTATTAATTCTTTCTCTATACCGATATCGTTCTCTCTTTATAGCGATGACTTTTCGACGTTAAATAATCAATTCAATTCACGACTTCTCACTTCCAGTTTTAGTTGTGTCCCAGAGGGCGGTAGCAGGAAGAAGTTGAGGAAACCTTAGCACAAAGATTTAGATCGCGCTATGCTTCAGTGGTTCCAGCACCAGCGTATAAACCATATTCCACTTTCTGGGCCTGTGGTCATTACAAAAGCTGAATCTTTTACAACTAAGCTTAAAATTGAGAATTTTAAGTCATCTGAGGGTTGGTTAAGTAAGTGGAAGCCACAGCACAAGATCAACTACGGGTAGATCAGCAGATAGGCTCGCGATGTTAACAAAAACGTAACGAATGATAGGCTAGAAAAAGTATGGCCTGGTATGGTCAGAAAACGGTTTCAATGCTTATATGACTGGATTGTTTTTTAAAATCACACCAAACAGAACTTAAAAATTTCAATCGGAAAAGTGCGTTGGTGAAAAGCTCTCTACGGTTTTAGTGGCCGCTAACATGTCAGGTTCAGTGAAAAGAAAATTGTTAGTAATGGTGAAGTAAAAAAAACACGTTGTTTTTGACATCAAAAATCTACCCGCGACCTACAAACCAAACAAGAGTGCGTGGACTACTCCGGAAATTTTTGAAAAAGTAAATGAGATCCTTTAGCCCATGGACCAAAGTATCATCAAGAGTTTAAAAAGCCATTATAGGAGAAGACTTTTGATGGAATCGGTTGGGAACAATGGCAATTTCAAACTAAACGTTCTTGACGCCATCCTATTGATTAGTAAATCCTGAGACGAGGTGACGAGCAATACAATAAAACATTCCTTTAAACACGCAGGATGGCTGGAAGATCAAGGCTTGACTAAGAATGAAGATGACCTGTCGTTAGCTGTTTGGGCCAGATATTTTGAACTTCCTATAACCTATGGACTGGAAGAACCAACTTGATAAAAATGTAGTTACAACATCTGAACTTTCTGACGAGGATATTCTACAAGCAGTTCATATAGAAGAAGAAGAAAATAGTGACTTGGTAGTGGAAGCAGAGCTAAAACCAGCTCCGACCTCTTAGCAGGCATTGGATATGACAAAAGTATTTCGTCGACCAGGAAGACGATAAGAGTGGTGTGAAAGATGCTATGCGTCTTCAGCACAAGGTCAGGTCAGTTCTGTAGAAATTTAAAAGAAAACAGAAAAAAGTGAAAGACTTTTTCGTTAATGTAGGCTAAATATAGGATATAAACTTTTTTTTACATTGATGAAAATACTGTACCGTATTATTTTGTTACTGTACAATATACATTTTTTCATTGTGCAGTCATTTTTTGTATTGCTGTACTGTATTGTACTGTATTGCTTATATCATGCTTTAATAAATCTATGTTGTGTTAATGTACAGTGGTAATTCATTTATAAACGTTTTAATTAATTTTTTAAAAAACAATAGGATATTTAGCACAGTATGATTATTACAGAAACGATTTTTTGCTTCTCTCTGTATAACGATCTCTCTTTATAACGATAAAAATTCCCGGTCCCTTGCATATCGTTATATAGAGAGAAAGGACTGTATCTAGGTAGTAGGCTTAATATAAAAATTATGTACGAAATGTTTAGATCCAAGTATCCTGAAATGAAAATAATAAATACAGCTTTTATTATACATTTTTTCGCAAATACTTTACTTTGAAATTTGGCAATCCTCAATAGACACATGCCTAAAATATGAAGAGTTGAATTTAAAAATCAAGTCCCTCTCTGGGAGATGCCTTAAAAAAATGGCTGTTGCAAAAATGAAATTCATGGGTACACAATCAATAATATAGTTTCTTTGGATGGATATTATTTTGTTAAGAAGTAGCGTTCCATAAATATCTACATATATTCATTGCTATTCAAACGTTCAAATTTATTTCTAGAAAAATAATATATTTTATTCAGTCCGGTTCTGTTCTTTTATTTATCTTTTATTTCTGAAGTACATCAAAATCAATAAAATACTCTGCATTCGTTAATCCATCTCGCTGGTTTTTCTCTGGTAAATCTCAAAAATTTTAAACGTTTTACAAAGTCGAAAAATCAACATACCGTTACCATAGCATGAAGTACCGGATGAAAACAAGGAGTATTTTCCTCTTTTCTCTTTTATTAGAGACGTATGCTTTGAATAATCACTTTATTATGTTTATTTTCTTCCAAATTATCATGTGAAGTTGAGCTTGGGTTCCATTTTTTTTTATTGTTTGTCTGATTGTTTAATGTCATTCATATACAAACATACATAAACGTAGACAAAAGAATATAACAAGGAATTAAATTTATATACGAAGAAGGTTGCATTTCAATTTAATTTGAGTCTCTTACCACTCCTTGACACGTGTATTTGTAAGATGACTCTTCTTACAAACTCCTTCTGATGACGGGTAGGACCAAAAAACACGTGTCAGGGAGTTGTAAGAGACTCAAATTAAATTGAAACGCAACCTTCTTCGTATATTTATCGTCCTTACTCGACGCAATGAGTACAAGAATGATGGTAATTTATATGGGTAAATTGTTGGTGCATAGTGGAATATAATTATTCTAAGCATCGCTCTGAATGGCTTGATTAAGCTTGGGTATACAGTTTACTTTAATTGCTATCGACGTATCTTAATTAAATTTATCTTTTGTAAAATGTTCAGCATCATCATTAGCCCGTTTTAAGACCTCTGCAGAACATAGGCCTCCCCTATTTGTATCCCGATTGTACAGTCTTGAGCAGGATGGATCCAACTTTTGGATATCCTTCGTAGATCATCATGCCATCGTGTAGGTGATCCTCCTCTGTTTCGTTTGTCTGTACATGGTCTACATTCATCCGCTATCTTCCATCTATCTTCCATTACCAACATATCCACCTTTCATCCTTTATCCATGCCACATCTCCATTTCAATCAGCAAGCTCTCTTAACATCTGTAACTTTGGTTTTTTTTCGTAGATTTTTATTTGTGATCTTGTCTTTAATTGTAATTATGCCCCAAAAAAAAACCGGCCAGAAAACAGGTTGATGTTGATTAAGTGTGTTTTGGTTAAACGCAAAGTAAATATCGATATGGAAATTTTCAATGATGTTATATACTAATTGGATGTTTTCTAAAAATTTTCATATTATATAGAATATAAGAAATAGTTCATTTATTGAGTATTACCTGATCTAATATCTCCATTAAAAGGATTAAAGGAATTATTCCCAGAAGGAGTACCTATAAGATCAAATTGTGATAGTTTCATATCATCGGCTATAGCAACTTGCCGGGCGTAATTCCATCGATATAACACATCTTTTTTTGTGTAGCCAACTAAAATTTAAAAAAACTATTAGATGAAAGCATAATTTACGCTTTTTTTTTTGTTGCAGCAAACTAACTTACAGGAACCGAATGTTAATGGACATTTCTGAATATCCATCGGAAAATTTTCCAAATTCATTGGACATCCAGCTTTAATTGTTAATCTAAAATAAAAACATTAAAAATCATAACTGTAATATATATTTGTAATAATATTTACATGTAATATACACTCTCTTTTATCTCGCAATGTAGAGGAAAATATTTATATCTATTCGGATTAAAATAGTATAAATAATGGAAAGTATTATATGAACCGTATAGTTCAGGTTCTTCTGACGTTATTGCCACAAAATATTTGTATTGCTCCTGCAATATCATTTAAAACTATTTTTTTTTCTATTCTACCTAGACTTCGTAATTAATTTATTTAAAGCATGAAAAGATTTTGTTAGTTTTTCTAGCCAAATTGTTACACGAAAAATGTTAATGTTAAAATGTTAAAATTTTGTATTGTCAAGCAATGTTAATGTTAAAATGTAATGTTAATGTTTATGTTAAAATTTTATTTTGTCTTTCTGAAATATAAACTTATATTTTCTTAATATACTGTTCAACTTTTTTTGAAGGTATATTGTTTTCTTTTTATAACACCACATTTACTTTACCCCAGGATGTATTTTGTTCAAGGGTGATCCATTAACCCTAAATATATTTTTTTTTGTCCGTAAAGATCGGGTACTTTATTTAAATACTTGGAGATATTCACAGGTTAATAAATGAATACCTGGGGCCCATAAAAAATATTTATTGGTTGGTGAATTCCTTTTTGAACCTCTGAAAGGAAGAAGCAATTTCTCTAAGAGAATACTTCCATTGGAGATTAAGGGTTTTCAATAAATTTAATTTTTATTAGCCGGAGTGTCGAATTTGAGTAGAGCTTTGAGTATTATCCTAATAATTACTGTTAAAAAGGGTAAAGTTTATTTTTATAACATAACAATGTGTAAGAATGAAAGTTTTTAAAATAAAAAAAAAAATGCTTTGGTATTGACAGAAGATACTGATACGGACTTAGAAACGACCCCAGATACGTTTGTAAAATTTAAATATGCGCTTATAACCAGTGGTGTAAAAGGAGTTTTTCAGTATATAAACACATTTTTAAGTAATTTTTTTTTATAGCATAATTTAATTTACAATCTGCTTCATCGAAGCTATAAGTAAATAGTTTGAATGTTAAATACATGAGGGAGAAGCTGCCCCGTGGCAACTCTCCTATTATATTTTTTACATTAGATCATAATATATTTAATTTATTAAATCTGTTGGCCATTGTTTCTTCAGTCGTCTTGCGAATTCGGGAGGAGCGTTTAGCAGTCTTGCTTCATTATTTGGATGACTTCTCAGACCATCAAGGTAGCTCTTTGTGATCCTTTGAATTTCTTCCTCTACCAAAGGTGTAGCTGAGTCCTCGTGTAGGGTTTTATTGCTTACATACCAGGGCGCGTGGAATATTATTCTCAATATTTTTGATTGGACTCTTTGTATTATCTTGATATTTGATGGCTTTGAGCAACCCCAGAGTTGAACGCCATAGGTCCAAATTGGTTTTATCATAGATTTATACAGGAACAGTTTATTTTCAGTATTGAGTTTTGATTTTCGACCCATAAGCCAGCTCATTTGTCGTATTTTGATGTTGATCTGGGTTTTCTTGGCTTGAATGTGTGGCTTCCATGTTAATCTTTTGTCAAGGGTTAGTCCCAAATATTTAACTTGTGTGCTGACTGGTAATTGTGTATCGTTTAATGTGATTGTTGGACATACATCCCTTCGGTTTGTAAATGTAACTTGGGATGACTTCGTTTCATTTACTTTCACCTTCCATTTGTTGAGCCATGTTCCCAATTGGTTAAGGTGGTTTTGCAGTTGTGCAGACGCGATAATGGGGTCCTCGTTGACAGCGATTATGGTGGTGTCATCAGCGAACGTTGAAATTTGGGTTGTTTCAGTGGTTGGGATATCTGCGGTAAATAATAGGTAAAGGAGAGGACCCAGGACGCTACCCTGTGGTACGCCTGATTTAATGGGAAAATATGTGGAAGTTGCTGTGTTATATTTTACTTGGAAGTAACGATCTTCAATGTAGGATTTCATAATTAGGTAGTAGGGAGTTGGAAGAATGCTTTTGAGTTTGTATAAGAGTCCAGTGTGCCATACTCTATCAAACGCCTTTTCTACATCTAAGAATGCCGCTGTACAATATTTTTTTTCCTCAACAGCAGTAAGGATTTTTGTTATGATTCTATGAGTCTGTTGTGTTGTGGAATGTCTCTCTCTAAAACCAAACTGGTGTGTGGGTATTTCTGCGTCTAGGTTAATGTCCTTCTTCAGTCTATCAAGTAGTAGTCTTTCGAAGATTTTAGACATTGTCGGCAACAGGCTGATTGGTCGATAGGACGATGTTTTATTTGGAGGTTTGCCTGGTTTGTGAATCATTATTATTTGCGCAAATTTCCATGTGATTGGGAAATATGTCAGTCTGAGTGCACTATTGTATATTGTAGTTAACATGACCAATGCTCTTCTCGGAAGATTTTTCAGTATTAATCCTGTTATTAGGTCAAATCCAGGTGCTTTGTGGTTATTGCATTTTTCTATTTCTAGTTTCACTTCTGATGGACTGAATGGTGTTATTGGGGGCGTCATAGGGCAAGCACTATCCAGGAATTCTCTTATTAAGTTTCCATCGTTATCATTATCTGCTTGGTGTTCTTTAAAAATACCAGCTAAGTATTCTGCAAATGTTAACGCTTTTTCCTGGTCTGATCTTCCCCAAGTACCGTCATCTTTCTTAATTGGTGGGTTGTGTTCTGTAGGTCTCTTTAAGTGTTTTGTTGCCTTCCATATTGAGTGATCTTCTTTAGACAAGGTACTAATGTAGTGCTCAAATGTGGCATTGCGTGCATCATTTAGCGCTGTTCTTAATTGTCTGGTTAGTCGATTATATTCGTGTTTGTCATTAATATTGCGGCTTCTTTGCCATCTACCTCTTGCTCTTCGTTTTTCGACTATTAGTTGTCTGATATAATTCGGAGTGGTATTTGTGTTTTCTTGCTTTGGAGTTGATGGTGTAGCTCGATATGCAGCTTGTTGAATTTGACAGGTGAGATAGTTTATAGCTTTATCTATGTCATCTTTTTCTTTTAGTCTGATTCCAAGACTTAGATTCATGTCAAGCTGGTACTTGAATTCACACCAGTTAGTTTAAGGGGACGTTAACTTGGGTATTTCAGGTCGTTTCATTATGTGGGTGCTGAGTGTTGCTATGATTGGTGTATGGTCAGACGAGAGATCCCAATTTGCTTCTATGTCTGTGTAGTTTGCTGCAATTCCTTTTAGGATGAAGAAGTCTAGTAGATCTGGTAGTCTATTTATGTCGGATGGCCAGTATGTTGGTTGTCCCGTCGATAAGTAGGTGCAGTTTGTGTTGTTGATGGCATCTAATAGGCTTCTGCCTTTTGGTGTAATGAGTCGTGAGCCCCAATTCGTATGCTTAGCATTCCAATCACCTCCAACAATGAATTTGTTACCTAGCTTATTGAATAGTTCTTCGTATTCTTCAGTTGTGATTCTATATCTAGGAGGACTATATATTGCAGCAATTTCGAAGTCCCAAGGCCTGGCATTTATATTAAGTATTGTTGCTTGAATCTCATTTGTTTTATGTTCCGGCATTTGATGGTGTTGTATATTGTTCCTTATAATTATTGCGGATCCTCCATGGGCTGTTTTATCTGGGTGACTAGTGTGGTAGACTGAGTATTGAGGTATTTTAATGACGCTTCTTTCTGTGAAATGCGTTTCAGATACAAGAAGGATGTCTATTTTGTTGTCCTTTAGGAATTGGATTACTTCTGCTTTATGGTTTGCTAAACCATTTGCGTTCCACTCGGCGATTCGAACAGATCTAACGAATTTTGTTAATTAATGTTGTTAGCATGGTAAGGATCATGCTGTTTTGATTCATTAGTTGGGTGAACATTGCTTTAAATTCGTTTAAGAATAAGTTCATTTGAGACCCTATGTCAGCTACTTGATTTCCTGCTCTTACTGCTTGGGCATAGGATTGGGTTCCATTCTGTTGTTGGTACTGTGATTGTTGACTCTGGTACTGTGAAGTTGGTGCTGGGTTAACATTTTGATGTGGGTTCGGATTATTATGGGTCGACTGATTTCCGCTTTGGCGATTATTTCTTGCATTTTGTAAGTCCTTGTAAATTACACAGCCTTTATAGTTTGCAGTGTTTTCTCCTGTACACAGGGCACATTTTGCTGGTGTATTTCTGGGTTTTGTACATTTTGGTGATGGGTGACTTCCTCCGCATTTCACGCATGCGTATGGTCTTGTACAGTACGCTTTTGTGTGTCCATAACGTTGACAGCGCTGACACTGTGTTATATTGTTTTTTTTGTGAGGGGGTTCAAAGCTGACTTTCATATTGCCGATATGATCCAGTGTATAAATGTGTTTGTTGTTTTCTTTGGGTTCTAGGTCCACATAGAACATTGACAAAGGTGTTTTATTGACTCTGTGCAAAACGTTAATGATATTACGGACAGTATGTCCCGATTTACCTAGTTCACTTTTTATTTCTTCAACCGGCATCGAGTGGTGTAAATTCCTTATAACTACCCTATAAGCTCTATCTTGTTTTGCTTGGTATGTGTGGTGAACTATTTTGTTGCTGCTGTATAAGTTTTCTGTATGATTCTATAGTTTTGGGGTTTATTTTTATTGTATCATTTGGAAGAGCTTTCAACTGGTAGTCTTCAGCTTTAATGACTGTTGATAGGTTTTCAGTCATTTTTTTAATATCATTTACCCCATAGATAAATATAGGTGGAGGTTTAGGTGTTACTGGTGTGTTATTACTATCGTTTAAGTTTTCTAATGGTTCAAATCTGTTGTTTGTACTCACTTGCGTTGTTGTGTTGTCATCTTTGGGGTTTGCCTTCCTTTTTTTTTGTAATTTTTTTGACTGTTTGCCAATCGTGAACGTTTTCTATGGTTTCGTCGTCTTGGTCGCTCGAGTTTTCCATGACAGTTTCCTCTTCGCTGAGGGTGTATTGGGTGGCATTTGATGTATTTGGTTGATCCATTGGAGGTGCAGGAGGGTTTAGGTTATATTGGTGATTATTGTTTAGGAATGGAGTAGCCGGTATATATTGGTTTGTTACCTGTTGGACATTGCTCGGGAACCCATAGAATGGGGGCGATATTATTGGAGGTTGTTGAGGCTGGGTATATATTTGGGGCACATTATACAACTCCCCATTTGGCACTTGATTTTGTAAATTTTGGTGGTACATTTCCTTAGTATAGTGCGCCACTGGTTAAAGATTAATCACATAAATAGTTATTTAAAATTAATCACTTAAGAATAGTTATTTACTTTTATTTTTATTTCACTAATTATCAGCAATAAACTAGTCCCGGCCGATAGCCGAGGCCGACAGAAAAACTTGAAACTTGAATCTCGAGAGCGATATGAGTACGTGTTTACTGCTCGGAATTCAAATACGAACTTTTTAAGTAATAGGATACCAAATTTCACACTGCGGTATTTAAACCAACATTTGTGCTTGGTTTTACAATTAAATCTATTATTTGTATAACTTTAATCAAGTGATGGATTCGACCGTCACTTAATGGAAATTCATTTTATATAATAATAAAACACTGAAAACAAAGTTTTCCCTGTTTTATTGTTATAACTTTAATCTATGTTTTGATTTTGTTTATTCAATGATTTTATTTGTGTTAAAAAAATAAATATTGTTTTTAATTTAAGCCTTTTTAAAATTTGTATGCCTTTTTTGTGCATATTTCATAGAATTTTCAAATGAATATTAATGCTTTTTGAACGAATATTTTAACTTTTTTTATGCATTTTTAATCCGGATTATACTTAAAATTGTACGGTAAAAATATGGTAAAATTGTAATATATTTATGGAATATATTAATTAACACAATATTTGCTTGCATTTGTTTTTGTATAAGTAAAAAAGCTTACCTGGAGGAATACAATACCCTTCCGTCGTGATGGAGCCTGACAAATTTATTTGGGGTTGTGATCGTGTGTAAATACGATTGTTTTCCGTTATAGAAAAAAGTGTCTGGTTTCCATATTTTGGCCAGCATAGAGATACTGAGAGCAAGGGTATAGTTTGTGTGACTAAAAAACGACAATCTTTTGTCTCTCCAAGACTGCCGAAAATAACAATCCATTGAATATGTCTGCAATGATATAAAGCTAAATCTTTGTATTTAAATACAATGCTTGACAAAAAAAACACTTTCAAAATTGTAATTTTTAATTCTACTAGTAAGTTTTTTACACGATACTTTTACATTTTTTTATATAAAAATATATCGAGTATTTACACATAGGGTAGGGTGGGGCACATTTGGACGTGGGGTACATTTGGACAATACAATTTTACCGCTTTAAAAGCATCGTGAAGTTAGTTGCATCTCAGAGCGTACGTATTTTGGTGTGTCACTTGAATGACGATTCAGATTTTGCTGGAGTGCTCACCTATGGACCTTCCACAAGTTTACAATAATACCTTCTGGGGATTTTGAAATAAATGCTATGAACAATTCAGCTCTTACTCAAACTCTCGAAATGCCTATAAAGGGAGATGATAGTCTGGAATTTATTACGGACTATAAGGGAAAGTCATTCATATATACACCAGAAAAAGTACACCAGAAAATAATAGGGTAGAAGCTGAAGAGAAGAGAATGAAAGGAATGACAAACGAGTCAAAGTTGTAAAAAGAAAAATTAATGATATTGAAAAATTAAAACATGCACAAAATAAGGCTAAAAAAAGACCAAAGAAAAAATCATCTTACATTAGTTCCTCAGAATCTGACGTATGCGTTACGATGTCTGAATGCAATTCAGATTCTGATATAGATGTGCACAGTGATCAGGAGGCAATAAATGGTCTTTTAGATAATGAAGATGTTCTTGTAGGCGACTTCGATTTGGTAAAATTTGCAACAAAGAAAACGGTTGTTCACTTTTTGGGCCGTATAGAAGAACTAGTGGATGAGGAACTAACAATCAAATTTTTACGATACAAACTAAACAGTGGCTTTTATTATCCTACTGAAAATGATATTAGCACTATATCCAGAGCCGATATTGTGGCAAAACTTCCTATACCTTTAGAAACCAAGGGAGGGAACATCTCGTCAAGCGCCTTTCGTAATTTTCCCTTACAACATTAAATAACTTCTTTGTCAAATATGTTCATATTATAATCAATAAATATCATTAGTAAGTACCTTGTGTATTATATTATTTTCTGTTAAGGCTTAGACAAATGTTTATCTGAATGGTCCAAATATGCCCCACAGCTGTACAAATCTGCCCCATGGTGGGGTACAATTGGACAAATACACTGTTGAAGAAAATTTGTATTTTTTCTATGTTTGACTGGTTTATTCGTAGTTTCGTCGATATATATTCAAAGACAACAGATACAACTACTGACTTGTACATTATCTGTCATAAATTATTAACATATCTTAAAAATATTCCCTACTGAAAAATAATGTCCAAATCTACCCTCCCCTACGCGACCTTGTGTGCAACAACACGAATCATATATTTAAGCGACTTGTAAATAGAAAATGCCAATTTAATTAGTTAGTTATTGCTGACATCGGAAAAATGTAAAAGGCAACTGCTTAACCCGGCCTGGTTTAAATTTGTAATTGATAAGTTATTCAATAAAATATAAAAGTGTTATCTGTATTATTTGAGAAGTGCAATATGAACATGGAGAATCGGTTGTGTTAACGTAGAGCAGGGATGGCCAACCCGCGGCACGCGTGCCACTCTGTGGCACGATTGAGTCCTATCACTTTCAAACTGATCAAACTTTCAAAAAAATTAAAACTTGAAAAACAAAAAATAATAAGAAGAAACTTAGTAGGTTTACGGAAGTTACGATAGATGCGGCATCATTGCGTCCTCTGGCGAGCGATATTGCTGCGATTGGTGCACGTGATCCTAGCTGTCGTAATGTGCAATAGGACTGCGTTACCCTTGCTTAGTTTATTTTAAACTGCCCCGTTGTATGTGCACATTTTATCATCGCGCATTGTTTCTTTAAAATTTTAAAAGTTTTTGTTCGATATGTCCACAAGTAAGCCTTCGACTTCAAAACGAAAATACGAAGATGATATTGCAATTCGCGATTTTCAACCTGCTTGGGAAGAACAATTTTTATTTACTAATCGTAATACTTCAAAGCCTGTTTGTTTGATATGTGGATTGTCTTAGCAGTTCCGAAAAAATTTAACCTGGAACGACATTATAAACAACTGCATAAGGACTTCAGCAACAAATATCCTATTGGTTCACATTTGCGAGCCGACTTTATTGAAAAAAAAAGAAAACCCTAGCCAGCAACAGTCACTGTTTCAGAAGAGAAGTGATGAAATGGAAACTATGGTTAAAACATCATATGAACTTTCTCTGCTGTTAGCCCGGAAGAAAAAAGCCTACTCTGATGGAGAGGAGATAATTAAAAATAGTCTGGCAATATTTGCTAAAAATGTGGGAGATGTAAAGATCAAAAATATGGTCGATGATATTGCATTATCCCGAAATACAGTCATGCGCCGTATAGATGATATGGGCCAGAATGTTGTTTCCCAAATTGTAAGTGGATTAGAATCCTGCAAATTATTTTCTTTATCGTTGGATTAAAGTTGTGACAACACAGAAAATGCGCAGTTAAGCATTTTTGTCCGTTATACCAATGATAATTTTGAAAATGCCGAAGAGCTTCTGGATTTGCGCCAACTAATCACAACAACAGGAGAGGACATTTTTCAACAGCTTAAAAACGTAATCGAAGTCAACAAAGTTGAATGGTCAAAATTAGATAGTGTTTGTACAGATGGAGCTCCTTGCATGGTTGGTAGACTAAAGGGGTTTGTTACATTACTGGAAAACTATTTGGGAAGAAAAGTTTTTAAGTACCATTGTATTATTCACCAGGAAGCTCTTTGTGCCAAGGACCTAAACATGTCATCTGTTGTTGACCCTGT